AGAGACTACTCTACCTTTACTGTACAACGTAATTTCAAGGCCAGTCCCTTTGCCAGATGTGTTTCTGCTGCCAATGCAGTCTGTAGGAGCATTGACATCTTTAACAAAGATCGTATTTTGCTTACTGATGTTAGTCAGCTTTTTAAACAATAATCATCATTTTTTTTGTTTAATCATTTCCTGTGCTGACTGTATTTTATTTTGTGGTATTAATTTTATAGGTTTTTTCTGTTTTGTTTTATTTAGTATTTTTAATTGAATTATATTACTTAGGTATATTTACTTCATTTACTTATTATTATTTTGTAATAAATTAACACTGTACATTTATATATTTAGTTTATTGTTTGTTTGTTTTTGTATTGTAATGTTTGTATTGTTAGTGCTTGGCTGTTATTGGCCTTTTTGGCTGTTGTTAAGCACTTTAATAAATGAATTGAATTGAATTATATTAACATGTATATCACCCTTTTCTAAAATATATCATGCTCTGAAACATATATAATAATTTTAATACAGTGTGTACATAAAATTTTTTTATGCAAACACAAGCTCTTCAAAATATTTCTGTAACGTGGAAAAGCAGACATATCTACCTAATCGATTGAGATCCAAAGATGAACTTCTTGTATGCGTTCGGTACGGTCGTGGTGGGGGAGGGGGTGGGGGTTCCTTCTTGGGGACCATTTGTGTTGCTACAGCAGTCACAGGGAGACTTGTTGGACCAGACTGACCTCTGGGCAAAAAAATATACGTTATAATGTGTTGTTTAAACTATGTAGTGTAAATAGCATAATTTACTTCATATTTCCAGCATATAAATGTGTCTCTTACCCCTAAACACCTCTGATGAAGCTACAATTATCTTGAACATTTCATTCATGGAATATTTACGCCATCACTATTCTGATACCAAATAAAGAAAAATTGAGACTCTAAGAAGACAAAAATGAAACATCGTCAATGCCATTTTCAAAAGGAAAGTAAATTATTAATTGAAATGAGGTAAATGAAGTACTTTCTGGAAAAGAAAGTAAAATTAATAAAAACTGAACACAGGAATACTATGAAAAGTCTCAGTTACCAAGTTCACAAGACAAAGCTCAACACTCTGCGGCCTGCTATAAGACATTCTGTTTTCAACACATTATAAATTTCATGGTTGTTTGTTAGAACTCAATCTTTTGAAAATTACACCATGTGGTTGCAGATTGGTTTGCCACAAAGCTGCATTGTTTTTGGGGTGTTTAATTGTGTCTCTAACCCTGAAGGGACAAGCAGTACATCTTCAAAAATGCTGGAATGTTTTCTATCTTTTCAACAACGTGCAACACCTAGAAGACTCTTTCTCCCCATACTTCAAGTGGAAACCAACATATTAGTATAAGGTGATTATTTTTATCCTGATGAGATAAATTATTGTCTCAGACTCAGCAACGTATATCTATAGACATACCAATCACAAAATCATAAGTATACACTGCCATGATAATGTACCAGAAATGTGAGAAAACAGATTTGCTGCCAGTCAGTCACCTTAACCTGAACATAAAGAATGCAAGGTCTCCTAAACACTTTCAATCTAGCCTGCCATTACAAGTAATGAATGAATCTCATTATCTTGTATAATTTAACATGTGGTGATGTAATATTAAACTTCACTCACGCTGCTGAGAGTGTAGTTGTTGCTCCTGATACCTCATCAGGTGTGGACAGAGTTGTAGGCTGAGGTGGAGGTGGTATGGCCCCAGGACCCGGCGCTTCAACAAAATCATATTAAAATTATCACAGGAAATCTACATACAACTGGGATACAACTTCATACAAATTTAACAAAATGATTTTCTGTACCTTTCACATTTCTTTCAGACAAATGGCATACACAGACGAGAATTTTAAAATGTAACCCATAATCACTCCACTAATGTTCAAATTAAATTTGTTCTGATTTGCAACTGGTGGGGCTTAAACATAGTCCACTGTGTTGCCAAACATTTTACTGTTTGTATAATATATAGAACATTACATTGCTATTTCAATCTATGCATTGTTTCAAAATAATCTCTGTAACATTTTGGTAGGATACCAGTCCTAGAAGCTCAGTGTAGCATATATGCACACTAAGCTGCACCAACTTATATACCCAACAAGTACACAATAGTATGAAAACCTTTTTTCCTTAAAATTTAAAACATTCATTGTTCCGGAGAATCTGACTTAAATACGTATAAATCCGTATAGATGTATTTACGTCAAAAAGCTGACCATTGTCGGTCCATATTTATACATTGTTGGAATGGATCTTACACATCTTTGTAACGCTGTTATTGCCGAATGACCCTTCCGTATAGACGTATTTATCAAAAACTATTAAATGCCTACTGTGTCATGCAATGAAGTGCAGGCAGGACTTAACAAGTACACATAAAAACGATTTGGTACAGACAGAATGTTAAATGATGACACCAAATAATTATGATAAATAGTAAATGAGTTATAATCTGTATTTTATAAAACAATGTTAATGACATTAAAGAACAATACATGGAATAATTCCATAAGAATGTCGTATTTTCAAAGAAATCTGTAAGCAATTTCAAAACTTACTGGTGAATCGTCAACAACAATGGGAAAATCTAAACTTGTAAATATACAGCCATAAATTTCATCCTATAATAGGCCTGCGCAACTTTAAATTACACTTGGGCCAAAATGTAAACTACAGACATGCTTCAGGCTGCAGCCTCAAATTTTCTTTATGTTAATTACATTAGTTAAAAGTATGTGAGCACTATGCATTAATAATGTGTAAATAAATATATTGTTTTCTATAAGAAGAAAACAAATTTAAAAACAATGTAAAGAGATCTCCTTAAACATCCACATAGCTTTACCACTCAAAAGGCCAACATTGGCAAATTCAATGCCATGAGAACCCCAAAATCTCACATAAGAACTTATTAACTACTCACCTGCTGGTTTCTTTGGTTGCGGTCGCTGAATTGGTCTAATTTCCGATGACGACGTTACATTGTTTTCCAATGTTGCTGTGCCTTTTTTTGGACTACCGCCTTCACCACCCAGCTGCTCATATGGTATTTGCTGAGGTTCTGTTAATTTGCGTGGTGATCTGCATGGTTCGTCTTCTGCAGGAGGAAGGCCTTGAGATTCTGGAGTCAGGCGCAATGGCACAGGATGCAAGATTTTTGGATCCTAACAACAAATACAGTAATTCTTAATGATACCTGGGAACCAATGTGCTTTATAGATACCAGAAGTATCAAAATAAGAAATTATCAACCTACCTGTTCTACTGCTGATTTATGGAAATCAAAGTTAACTGGCTTAGGGCCTGGTGAAGACACTGAACTAGTTGGGGAGTCTACAAATTTGGTCCACTGAAACAATGTATTAAAGAAATAAGTGACTATTATTACTAAAAATTCTGATACAGAAGAAATTAGAATATAACTAAAATTCTCACTTCAGGAACATCATGTATAAGTAAATATAATATACTACTTACCACATCAACATTTTTAAATCTAATCACTTGGCATAATAAGAATTCAGAAAATCAATGGTAATAACCTTTATTTACAATTTTATGTGAGAAGAATTTTAATGTTTATTATTCTTGTTCATTTTGAATTTTAAATCCTGTTATCACTCTGTATTTCCCTTGTCCAATTATGACTGCCATCAAACCAAAAGAAAATATTTATTTCATGCTATTACCATCTATAAACATATCATTAATCCACCAATTTCTAATAAAAACCTTACACAAAGCTACACATTTTTAAAAAATCATCACATAATGAATGATACCTGTATTAATTCCCTTCATATCTCACAAGTGACACACTAAAATAGCAAAGAAAGTTCACAAAAACATGTGTCCAGAAAAGCCTGCTTCCATCTGAGTTATAAACCACTTTCTTTTTCAAAATTCCTAATGCAACATCATAGCTAAAGAGTGGAAATTTTATAGCAAGTACTCAAAATGAGTCACCATAAGCATCACTTCTTAATTTATATTTATTCAGACAAATGAATTACTGTGGGATGGTTTCAAATATGTAATTATGCAAGAGGGTCATGTGTCACGATCCAGAAAAGGTTGAGAACCCAGCTAACATATACATAACATGGCAAACATATAAGATGTCCACAAAAAATGTACAAGTTGTAAGAAAGAAAGGGGGAGGGGCTTTTATTATTGGATATTTGTAACCACTTAATTCAGTAAAAAATTATTAATAAGAAGTAGAATTTCTTAGTACGAAACATTTTCAAACTGACAAATGCATTAAAAACAGGATCATTACTGATAAGTTCCCATTTTGTTAAAAAAAATTGAAAGTAGGGGGTTGGTCTCCCAACCAAACAACATACATCAGCCTAAAGTATAAAGCCAGTCAACATTCAATAACAGGTTGGTTAGACTCTTAGGTTGTTTAACCCTTTGATTACTATAAATACATAACCACATTAAGCATATGGACGCTGCATGAAGTATGAACATACCAATGCAATTCTACTTTCCACGTAATTTAATGTTAATAAAGTAGAAATATAAGTTAATAAAGTCCTTAAGTGCAAAAAGTTCATTGGAATGAAGTATATGCAAGTTCTAGCACTACAAAGTCTGAGCTATGTGCAGCATCATTAAATAAACCATAAATAACTAAATGTTCTACAAATAAAAAGGGAAACAAATTACAAATTTTTGGAGAAATCAGTGTAACATAATAAAGATAAATTACTGCAAAAAGGACTTAAATAAGATGAAAAGGATTGAAACTGAATTAAAAGATTTGAAAGAACAAAGCAGCTATAATGCAAGAAGAACCTGTAAAGAAATTCAATACTACAGAATCAATACTCCGTACTTCCATACCTCCTTGCTCCTAGGTGGAGACGAAGGCTCTCCAGCCGGAGAGGCAAGACTTGGAGGGCTCTCATCTATGCTGGGTGGCTCTGCTGGTGCAACATTTACCTGATCTTGATGAGGAGGAACCAGGGAAGGAGGAAGAGTGTCTGGTAGGTCAATGTTATTTCTTCGCAACACTACCAGATGCATTGCTGTATTGAACTCGTCTAGAGACAAAGCTCCGTCTTTGGTTACATCTGCAAGTTGCCTGCAAAGAAACATTTATTACCCAAATTAGTACATAATTACTGTAACAGTTAGTACACCACAGAAGTAGATTCAATTCTGATGACTTACAACAGACTTCAATAACAGAAGTCTGTTGTTATGTTACCTAAGACCCTGAAGATTCAATCTTCAACTTTGTATTTAACTAATACACTGAATAATGCACCAACAATGAGCACGATTACCAAAACTGCTGAATCATGTTTGGTCAACTGCTGGTTATAAACTAACAGTATTTTCTTCTGCAATGAGTTGAGCACAGTACAATATTATGTCTGCTTGTGGTACTATATTTTGTCTTTTTGTGAAAGTTATTCTTGTGTCTGTAGAAAAAGTGAGTTGATTACATGAACAAATATTGCACACATACATAAAGTACAATGGTTCAGTAAAGAAGATAATGTACAGAAGTTCAATATCTTGCCATATTTTGCGAAGTTCCTGTACTGGCAAGCGTGATTTCTCAAAAAAAAGTCGAGCTGCAGGCCCAGCTATAAGTCCAGTTGGGTCCGGTTGAAGAGATCGAAATTGGGCTGTATAGTAATCTCTTTGCTCTTCAGTAATGTTCCATACTTCTCCATCCCCTTCAACGTCCTCTTCACTACTGTGGCGATCTGATGACTCCTCCTCGGTACCCAACAACTGTCGCTGCTCCTCACACACTAAAATATAATAGTTATGGAAAGTATGAAAATGTAATCTGCAATGATCAATGCTAAGAAATGCATGGATTATTTAGCACTGTTTCAGAAATTGCATGGGTTGTGCAGAATCAAATGTGAGGATAATTATGATGAAAAATCAGTTAAATCACGCACAATGTAATATCTCGGAATTCGCCTGCTGAAACACAATAACTACGTAAAACCTGTCAGAACAGCCACCCTTCAGGACAAGTAGGAATTCTATGATCTTCTGTAGTAGACGTGCCAACTACCACATCGCAACATTCGGCAGGATCTTAATAGCCAATGCACAATACAGCAAAGAAACCCTTCAAGAAAGTGAAAATGAAAGACTATTCAATTAAGCTGAAACTGAAATAGCAAAGGAAAAACCAAAGTAAAATGTGGGAGAGGGGTAAAGGAATGATTTAAGAATTTTTAATGGTAGAGATGATATGATCTCAACTGATGCAAAACTTTAATATAAAAAGCTTTGAACAGTTCCCATTTGTTGAGTTCACAATAACACCTACACACAGCAAATGAATTTCATATTCACTGTTGAGAAAATCAATAAAATATTATTTAAACCTAATGTAAAAGATGTTTATATTTTTATTATACAAACTGAATAACATTTAGTGTAGGTTCCACCAATATAAAATATCATAAAAATCCATTCCACACTTTCAAAGATTAACATGTGAAGTGACAGCAAGTCTGGCCTTCCCACTACATGTTCTTTCTGCACAGAATGCATGAAGAGAAGTAAATAAAGTGATGGAAATTAATTACAGACATACACAATATAACCTGGGAGAGCTCAGTCACTAAACTGGCTGGCTACAGCCTGAATGACTGAGGCTTCAAGCTAGGATTTGTTTTTCACTGCCTTGTTTGGATTAGTTGCAGAGCCCA